TTTGATTGGTTAATTATCACGGGTGATCACGGGTAGATCCATAAAAATTAGCCAATCAGACGAATTTCCTCCTATGAATGTAGATTATCAGATCATCAAGATTGTAGATCATTATGTCATGAGTAGAGTTGCTGGTGAAACTGAATTGTGCTGTTACTATCTAAAATCTGATTGGCTATTGCACTGAATAGCCAATCAGATTTTAGATAGTCACCAGTTTCACCAGCAACTCTAGTCATGAGAGTCATCAGCTTACTACGTACGTATATTCAATCAAACCTACTTTAATTGAACCATCTGAACATGTTTAAATTATTGTGGGAGCTGAAGCTGAAAATGGATGATGATGAAAATTTTTCATACTTTATTATAAAATTGTAAAATTTTTTAGGGCCTTTTTTGTGGTCTTTTTTTTCATAGTTAGGTTAGGTTAGAGAGTAGTATTTATTAATAAAAAACTATATGTGAATTTTAGTAGGTTTTATAGATTTAAAATGAGACCCCAATTTTCAGCATAATCCATTTTCAGCTTCAGCCCCACAATTATTTTTGAACTAGAGGATAGAAATGGAATAATCAAAATAGATGAACCCTATTTGCATTTCCTATTGCGTTCCTTTTATTATTTGAAATTTCTGAGATCTCTATTCAAAATTTAAATTTTATTAACCCCAGCCAATTTAGACTTTATTAGAACTCTAGCGTTACCAACCAAAAGATTTCACTAAAAGAATTTTGCTGTTAAATTAAGAACAGGATTCGCTATTATATTAGGTTATAAAGAATTTTATTAATGCAAAAAATTCGCGAATCGACCTTTTTTAGCGCATTGAAAGTTTTGTTACACCGGATCTAAAAAATTTGGTTGGCTGCTGAAATGTTTTAGGGTAACGACACTAGAGAAGGTAAAAACTCCCAGCGCATGGGAAGGCGCAAGACTTGTTAAATAATATATAGATTTTATTTTTTAACCCCCTTCTCTCTAAAAATCATCTGATTTTTGTCATTTTTTATCAGACTTTTCCTGAAAACATAATTATTAGTGTTCTCTATTTGAGAAACATTTTTGGAAGCATTAAGAATAGGGCATCTGGCACAATGACAAGAATATATCAAAAATTAATTTGTCATAGTATAAAAAAAAACATAATATTCACAGACCAAATATACATATGTATATATATATATACACAGCATATTAAATCTATTATGGCATGCCTAACATACCATGATACAGGTTTTGACAAAAGGTATTTTTTTTGGTGTACCGGACATCCTAAGAACTCTAAATATGATTTTTTTGAATTTTGAATCTTAAAACACATCGATATTATGTAGATTTTTACAAATTCTGCTTTCTTCAAACCTGAAATTTCGTATCACTAAAGATGCTGGTAAATTTGAAATCATTTCACCATTTCACTAATCACCAATCGTAATGGTGAAATGGTGAAGTGGTGAATAATAGTTAAAAAAAACAATAAGCATTTTGTAATGCAGCAACTTTCTCTAAGCAAAAAGTCGTTCTGGCAATATAGAATAAATACAGGTCTACGATTGTAAGGAATCTTGTATGCAGCATTTTCAGTTATTGACTCTTTGTAGTATGATTATTGGAAAAGCATAACATAAAATATGTATATAACTGATGTGTAATTAAATATACATGTTGTGCCTCAGATTAACACTCACTTCGGCTTGGGTTAGGGTTGGATTTAGAGAATAGCTTAGGCTGATCTGTTAATTCTAATTAATCCATCATAATATGGGCTAGGTGCTGAGAAAAGTGACAATTTTTTCAAAAAAATTTTTTTTGAGCTTAATCCAAAATTAGCCCAGAAGCATTTTTTACTTAAGGAACAAATACTGTTGTCTTAATAAAATTTTGTAATACAAGTGACTCTCGATATAAGAAACCTTCGATATAAGAAAGACTAATTAAACTCTCGATATAAGAAAGTCAAGCCAAAACCAGTCTATAATAAACCCACTCGATATAAGAAAGTTATTAATAAACTCTCGATATAAGAAAGATTTGTAAAATTTTTACTATGGACCCGACCACCTTTCTTATATCGAGATTCACTTGTATAACTCTTTAAAGTTTGCATTTTCTTATAATTTATTATAAAATTTATAATCTAAATTTTCCGCAAACCTTTTTTTTGTTAATTTGGTCCCTTTTCTCAGCACCAAGTCCATATTGTTGCATCTGACGCAAGCGTAAATCCGAAACACAACATATACATCTTACTGTTACCAATTTCGATTCATCAAATTCACCAATTTTACCAATTTCACCATTTCACCAATTTTTTTTTGTGTAATTCTGGTGAAATTATATATTTCACCATTTCACCTGGTGAAAATTACCAGCATCTTTACTTATCACACATCTTAGTAATCACTAGTTTTATCTGTAAAGTCTCTATGGTTTTAAGACTCTTTCGCATAGCGATATTGAGCGCGATATTGAGCGTTTAATCATAGAAATTGGTTTAATTTTATTTTTTGAGATGTTAAAAAAAAAGGCAATTGACCAATCATAAGAAAGACAGCCTATGTACCACATGATATCAGATATTGATATCAGCTGTAGAATCTAATTCGGTTTCGGCTTGCAGACATCATGAAAAAATTTGTTCGTCCGTCCGTCATAGGTCAGCCTTTTATCTTTCTCAGGGCTTCATCTTTCATTAGGATTTCAGAGACTTCGTCTTTAGCCAAAGGTTTCACTTTTTCGCCGGGGGTTTCGCCTTTTACTAGGGTTTCGCTTTTTCGCCAGGGGTTTCGCCTTTCGTCTTCAACCGATCTTTCTTCACAACAAATTGATCCATCACAATCACAACAAATTGATCCATCACAACAAATTGACCCTCCTAATGATAATAATCGTGAGGATCCTATTCTAACACATTTGATAAATATGATAATGCGAGACGGAAAAAAAGCACGCGCTCGTCGTTATGTAGCAGATGCGTGTTTAGAATTTCGTAAACAAACTAATAATGATCCTCTTGAGATTATTAAAGTTGCAATTGATAAAACTGCTCCCTTAGTCGGTCATGTTGGTCAAAAAAAAGGTTCAAAAGTAATACAAATTCCAAAACCACTTAATGAACGACAAAGAAATCATAAAGCTATTAAATGGATATTAGAAGCTTCGGATAAAAAGCCTGGAAAGAAATTTAGCATCAGGTTGGCCAATGAATTTTTGGCTGTTATTAATGGTCAAAGCTTGGCTTTACAAAAGAAGGAACAATTACATAAGTTGGCACTCATGAATAGACAAAACTTACCAATTAAATGGTAATCTATATTTTATTACTCTATGGAATAAAAGTCAAAGCATGACTATGATTAAAAATAGACGAGAACAATAGCATTTGGGAAAATGTCTAGACGAACAAAGCCGATAATTGTTTTTTGCTTTTATCCATTAAAATTTTGAAAAGAAACAACCAATATATGAAATTGCAAACAGGCTATTTAAAACAGAAACGTTTGGCCCAGACTCTGTAGTCATATTCTATGATGTTTATTATTTTTAGCACACCATAATGTATTATTAAGCATTACATACAATCTCCAGTCTATATTACATAATGAATGACCTTTAACAAATTCATTGTCTAGAAGAACATTATAAACACTCTTTGATTGAATGATGATTCACCTAATGTTAATACAAATATCTAAATGCAATAGTTATAAAAT